GTATTATCAAAAAAATCAGACCGACGGAACTTTAACTAAATGCTTAAAATTCTATATTATTCTAGTTAAAAATAGCGTTACTGTGCAAGCTGCCGGTGCCGTGCTGCATCTTGCCGATGAGGCGGCCAAGCGTCAACGGCTTGTCCTCGCCGGTGGCGTCCACCGTGCTGGTCACCACGCACAGAGTCGTCTTGCCGTCCGCGTCCATGCGGGGGAACGCTGGAATTAAAAAAAAAAACACATTTTAATAACCTTTTTTTATCTGAACACTTTTTATTTCATTACACAAATATTTATTTATTTATATGTTTAATATTATATAATCAATATAAATGAGTATGGATAAAGAACCCGAAACGTTGGTATAGTTGTTTATATACACGCGATTTAAATCCGAAAAAAAGTATCTTTGTCGTAAGTTACCTTTCTTCGCAAGTCGCCTCCGGTGCTGCTCCCTGGCGGCCTCCATCTGCATCTTGACGCTGTCACCCGAGTCCTGGCGTTCCTGGCCGTCGCTCACGGTCTCGGCCTCCGACCCGCCGCTCTTCATGGGGCTGTTGCGTTTTAGCACTTTCTGCTACGGGAATCGCCCATTGTAGTGTATTTAGTTACGAGACCAGCGGAGTACGAGTATCGAGCGTGTTTTTTAACATAAGCGCTTTTTTTACTTTATTTACTAGTTTGAATAATCATAATAATTACAATAATACCAATAACTCTATTATCGGACTTAGTTCGGAACTAGCGTTCTTTAGAATGATACGCAATCTTCAGATGAGTTTTTTCAATATGCAGTGCAATACAAACTAGTCAAAATAATTATGCGTTTAAAAAAAACCCAAAAGTAAACTCAAAAGTTTGTGAAATTTCATATATTTGCCAAGTTTTGTTGAAATCGCTTAACGAAAGTGATGCATGTTGCGCAAGCATCTGTTTGACAATTGTCAAAATCGAGACTGTAATAATGGCGCTTTGGGTACATACATTATATTATCATTATAATATATATGTAAGTATAATAAGTATGTTTATATTATGTTATTTATTTTATACAATACAAATTATCGATTGGATTTCTAGTATATTGTTCTTCTTGTTCAAGTGTAGCACCAACTTATTGTGTTTTTTTCTATGAGGCCTAATGGTTGACTGGTAGAGAATGCCTTTTGGCATTACGTCCGCCATTTGTACTTCAATATATTGTACAATAAAGTTTAAATGAATAAATAAAGTGGGTGAAATCCAATAAACTGGATTCATTCCCAAATTTGCGACCCTTAGAGGTACCCCCTTTCCAACAAGAAAAGGAAAATCGAAATCGATTTATAAACGTCGGAGTAATCGCGTACACACAAAAAAACTCCTTTTTTGAGATTGGTTAAAAAATAAAGTAATATACAACAAATATTTTAAGTAATTATTATTGGATGTCAATATAATAGGACAGAAATGTAAAAAAAAAGGAAAAAATCTCTGGCTGAAGATTCGCTCCATTCTAAAATATACGTACTTAATGCAACATGCAAACACACTAGGAACGAATTGGTATGTAACCGCGGTGTCACTTTAAAATTGTCAAAAAACAAAACTATTAACTTTAAATGTTTACGTATAATCACTGGAAGCAAAAACAAAACCACTAGACTGCTAACATGCCTGTATGTCTATTACATAGACCACTACTGTATGCCAGTAGAAATAACAAGCATTCTCCATAGTTAAGTTAGATTTTCATGGAACACTATAATCATATCTGTTACTTCTTGAATATACAGGGCAAATAGCACGACAAATTGGGCGTAACTTAAGATTTAACCCGTTCGTGAAGAGAACTTAAATAGCACACAAAAATGTCAACATTTTGCTGTAGTGCTTATATTCATAGCATGTATTTAATCATCAATATATAATCATCAAGGCATGTATATAAATGGTCATTTTAAATTTGCAAAAGCAGCACGCATAAAATCGCAACGAACATCTTTTTTAATGATTGATCCTCTTTCTCTGAGACATAAAATAAATTAAATCAACATATATTTTAATCTGTTCTGAGCTGTTTGATTTGTATAAATTAACATTGATAGTTTCATGTTGAGCCTCAAAACTAAGACAATGAGCATTAAAAAAACCTGAAACAATATTATTCGGCAATGCAAGCAAATTCGCCGCTCTTTCATATGTATGAAGGCTAACCTACTGTATGGAGGGTGCAACCAAGATTTCACCTATACGAAAGAAGAGGATCAAATATTAATTTAGTATGCTTAAACAAAATAATAGTTGTTACCTTGAGTGCAGTTTATTTATAATTTATCCGTAGATCAACTAATATAGACGGAACAGTGCACATTTACAATAGATCAATTAAATCTTTGAGGGTCAAATAACATTATCCCTTGATTCAATATAAAATGTTCCGTTATTCATTGATTTTTGTCATTATATTGTTGATATGGAGAAGTAGTAGGCAGCATCTACACAGAATGCACTTGAAAATCACACTGTAGTTGCTTTTTTGAGATCCATATAGCGAAACAGGCTACCCCATACTATTTTTATTTTGCCAAGATGCAAATTGGCATGTCAGGCATATTCTTCCGACGTTGGGTAGCCTCATCGAGTATATAACCAGCAATAGAGACGATTTGTCATTTAATTTGTTTTGAAATTCTGCCAAAAAACCAATTGACGGGTGTCGTCAATTGTTTCACTTCAACTCGACCAGTAACTTGAGCTTTGCTATAATGGACAAGAATTGAAAAATTACATATTTAATTACCGATGAAATGTGTATCAGTTTGTTTTGTATTTAGATGTTTTGCTGTTTTTCCCACACCACATAGTTACAGATAGGAACAGCCCCGCATAGTTACAGATATTATCTTTATTACAGTAAATACAGAATATTTTTGGAACATACGTTGACGTACACACAGGTTGGGATTTCTGTACAAACCAGAATTGATATTTAAAAGTGATGTAAGGCCCATTTGCCTGATGAGTTGCCAGGACCGGATGGCCTTTATTTCGTCTCCATTTCTGGTTATATACTCGATGGGTTGCCTTTATATGGAAAACTATTCTGCTCAGTTACTTGAATCCCAAATGTGTCCCCTCTTCAATCTTCTCATCCGCGGTGGTACACACAATGCGCTAGCCAGTTTGTTAGTATGAGTGGCCATTCTTTCTTTAGCCTAATTGTTTCCTTAATAATCGCAGGTATTTCAAGATATTCGTGGATCTCTTGCATTTTAGTGAACCATTGGGCATTTTTCAGATTTAAGAATATAGAATATAAAGAAATAAATATTAGACATCACATACGTTGTTCTGATCCCAAATTAAGTAACTAAAACACTTGTGTTACCTACGGAAATCGGAAACAACGACGGTACCACAAATACCCAAAACAGAGACAAAATAGAAAAGATAGTTTTCTACATTGACTCGGCCGGGGATCAAACCTTGGACTTCAAAGATGGCGACGCCATGAAAACGGAACGGAGGTCGTCAAAAATTATATTCTGATATTTAATTTTACGGTAAAACCGTTACTGTTCATGAATGGGTTAAATGGAATTCTATACCGCTTGCGACAAGAATGCTTCAAAATTCAAAGTGTCAAGTGTGTTAGCTCTTGTCTGTGCCTCCCAACAGAAGAGAATAAAAGCTGTTCCAAGAAATATTTGTTATAAAAAATGTTATCACAAATTTCGAGTTCCGTACTGTTTACTTGAAGTTTTAGAAAAAGCAAGTGGAATGCGTGTTATTTTTAAGATTATTCACTGTATTGATCTTTGTAAACAGACTTGAAAGTGGACTTCCGATCGTCGCCAGATAGCCGTCTTTGAAAATTTTTCATTTAACATGTTTAATTACTATCGCAAATACTTAGGAAGTTAGCGGACATGTGTAGCTTGACAACTTTGCACAAAGTGGTCACAATAAAAGTACTGACTAAGGACGCGTTCCCATTATGTCGTGATGATAGATAGTCGTGCAGTTTAAAGTGTCGTGTTTTGTATGTTTAAATAAAGTTGCTCAAATATAGTACAACACGATTAACTATCGTTCACGACTTTTTTGACGTTACGACGACAGACGGTTAAGACAATTGGAAGAGCTAGAACGACAGTCGTCCGACGATAAATAAAACGTTACGTTAAAAACGTGACGACAGATAATCGCAACTACTGTCGTCATTTTATTTATCGTTGTCTGCACGAGTTCTGCTCCCTATTCTCCCCTCCTGCCCCTCGCGCCCTCGTCTGTGCATCAAACGATTCTGTCGTGGAAACGACATGGCGGCTGCCGTGAACCGATAAATTGTCATCACGATCTAGTGGGAATAGCTAGACACGACAGTCGTTCAACGATAAAAAAAACGTCTACAACACTGTCACGACAGTTGTGAAATGGGAACAAGCCAAAAGGGACAGTCGTCCAACGATAAATAAAATGTACACGACATTTTCACGACAGACCGTTGTAATATGGGAACAGGCAAAAAGCGACAGTCGCCCAACGACAAATAAAAGGTTACGACATAATGGGACCGCGCCCTAATAGAGATCAAAAGTTACACATGCCCGCCTCCACTAAGCCTGATATTAGAGTAGCGTTTCTGGCTCGCGAGGATGTAAGCCACGCAAAATAAGATAGAGTCGTTTTGTCATGATGGCCAGCGTTGAATGTGCGGACCGTTCGTACGGGCCGTAAACGCGAATCTAAATTCAATCTTAGAGTCTGAATTCCGCTTCTCGGTCAAAAGGGAAGTCCACTAAAAATCTAGTGTAGTTAAGGAAAGCGTCACCTTTCGCCCGTACGTCCTAAGTGGCTGCATTGCAAAAAGTCAGGCATGAACACGATCAGTTTTGACATAATTTCTTAATTAAAATATATTTTTTCTTAATTGAGTAATCTTGATTTCAAAATTGAGACACAAAATCCATCTTTTAAGAAAAGATCTCAGTAAACAAGCTAAGGCCGTTTCCTGACTTGTCGGTGTGGTAGAAGTTCGGTATCGGTGCGCTCTAAGCCTACACATTTAACTTATTTTAGCTTATATTTCAATGTGCACTTCCTGATTGGCGCGGTATACCGTAAACCGAAACGATCCCTTCCTGCTTCTGTCCAAACCGCGCCAATCAGGAAGCGCACGTTGAAATATAGGCGCTCGGTAAGCTGTCGGTACTGCGTATACTGATACCGCACGACTATCGCACAGACAAATCAGGAAACGGTCTAAGTTTCTTCTGGGGGATATACATAACGTAACCATGTAATGACACTGAAGCCCAGAAAAAACTCGCTAACAATCACAATATACGAGCGATATTTGAGTGCCAGAATTGAGCCAATAATATTGCTGTCACTTTTGTAGCAATGTCACCTTATGCTCATATCTTTTATGTCATACATAATTTATGGGCCAGAAGTGCGTTTATAAATGTCAAGAACTATACAAACAATAATCTTTTTTAGATCATAGAAATTTCCTTCACACTTCAATATCACAACAATTATGAAGAAAATCATGCAACTTACCATATCCATTTTCCCGATGTCAAATCCCAATTCCCGAATTGGTATCTCGTACATGTAGGTAAGGATGTTCCCCAGAGGTCTAAGCTTCTGCGGCGTCAGTTGTTTAAGCCCTGCATGAAGGAGGCGCTTTGCAGCTTTGTGGTAGACTGTGCCCGGCTTGTTGTACTTCATTGCATTATTGCACATTTGTTTGAAGTCACTCTGAAAGGCCATACATATATCATATTAATTTGGAATGTTCTAATAAATGCATAATATAAAATGCAGGCTTGATATTAAGACCTTTGTGATTGTATATCATTTGAGAGTTCTCTATCTCTATTTTGCTTAAGAATAAGCATCAATCAGCATTGAGTTCTTAGGTTTTCGCGATTGTTACACATAGGAAATGAAACTATTTTTCCGGATTTAAATCGCGTATATTTGTTTTTTCAAACAAACCGACGTTTCGGGCCCTTTACAGGTCCCATGGTCACGGTTGTCAACCGTATACGCGATTTAAATCCGGAAAAATAGTTTCATTTCCCATCAATCAGCACTTAAATTATGACTCAAAATCATTATTAAGTCCTAAACTATCAAGTGCAATCTAGCTGCTGGTAGCTGTAACGTATGTGTGTATGTATGAAGAAATAGATTTCTCACAGATGGCGCTACGGCAAAAAAGTCGTTAAAAACCAAATACAAAAATCTGCAACAAGCACATAGAAAAATTCTTAAGATCCGCTAGTTTGTTCCGTGTCTTAGTTGACATAGAAGACGTTGGTTTGAGTCCAGCTGGATCGAAGGAATTTTGCCCACGTGTTTGACCTTTGTATTAATAATTATAACAAAGTAGTGGAGAAATTTCACAAAAAATAATTAAATACCAACATTGAATAACTTAAAAATCAAGTGCAATGTCTTTGTAACTCGAAATGTGTCTCTAAATCTGTATGTACAGGTTGATATCCAGTTAACACTGAACTTAAAAAATTAATTACCAAAATCGGCCTCAATACAACATACAGCTCGTAATATGGCAACATTTTTTATATTGCAATATGCTGAGGTCCACTTTCACCATATTTTTCTGCATAATCACACTTTAAATTCTACTAAATCCATTCTTTATGTCTAAGCCATACCCTTACCTTTCCTAGTTAGTTTATGGTGGAATAGTAAAAGCTGGTTTCTGTAGCTCAACATCATAACTCCTACTTTGTGTGTGGTTTTATCCTAGTTTTTTCATACACTACACATACCACACAATACTCTCATTTCTACGGCATAAAAAAATATATAAATATTAATAAATAATTAATACTTACAATAAAACAATTCAGTGACTTATATTCATTTTCATCAATCTTCTGTTTCATAGTTGAGAAATCCATGGGCTTGCGGATGATGTTTGAATAGTTCGGAGCAAAGTTGTCATTCACCGGCCACGCAAAGAATTGATTTGGATCTCGCTTCTCCAGATTACGGAGTAGGTGTTCTAGAAGTCTTGAGAGTGGACGGCGTTTCTGACTGGCCTGGTGAAGGTGTATAAAACCTTTAGATAATAACTACATTGTATAAATATTATGTATGTCAATGTCCCTTTTGCAGTTGTAGATAGTTTATAGACATATACAGGACTAAAACAGATTATATTAACAGGAAATAACATTTTAATGTTAATAACCTTTTAATTAATTTATTAGAAAATGCAAACAAATTCCAAAAGTCACAGGAATGTTTATAATAATCCATAAAAACTTTTAAATATGTTTTTCGAATTCTTAGGTTTTCACGATTGTCACACGTAGGAAATGAAACTATTTTTCGGATTTAAATCACGTATATTTGTTTTTTCAAACAGTCAGTCAACCGTGATCATGGGACCTGTAAAGGGCCCGAAACGTCAGTTTGTTTGAAAAAACAAATATGTTTTTGTCAATTTTGTATATGTCAATAATCAACAAATAAAGTATACATAATTTAATGCTTCAATGTTACGCATGGCATCTAAGAATATTGCTTTGAAGATAATTTAACAAAGTATAAGTTTTTTGTAGCAGTAGAGCTCCTTGTGAAAGAGAATGTCCAGGGAAGTTCTGCCACCTAACATATATTTGCCGCCAAGCAGTTATGTGAAATACTTCACAGAAGTGAAGGGTAAGGGTACTGGTGAAATTACAGGCACATGGGACTTGTCAACTTATGTCTCAGGGGGACGAGCTCGGTGCAAGTGCAGTGAAAGTGCCCCTCAGATCTTTGCGATTTAAAGCTCGGAGTGGGCCTGCATCTGTTATGGACAGGCTTTCTCATGGTGAAAACAAAACATTGTGATGAAACCTGCTTGTTGAAGACGGTTCATAAACTTTGGGCCATGTGGTGGACTATGGCCTAAACCCTCTTCTTAAAAACAGTGCGACATATAATAAGTCAGTGACGATGATGAATTTTATGAGCTACAATTAACCTGTCACGTGTCCTAGAGACAGTTGGCGTCTCTGTTTTGGCACTGTAGCGTCCTATGGTCATAGATTATCTTAGATTCTCAGAACTATGTCTTCAGTTACCATTTTTAAAAATGTATAAAAAAATTATAAATGCTTATACAATATTTTTAGGATAACAGTGTCTCAAGAATGTGTGACTGGTTAACAGTAGGTAGCACCTTTAGTACACAAGTCCGTGGTTCCCTGTGAGTGGCTGGAGAATTGGAACCCGGGCTGTGATGGCGCTGAGTCTTTTTTGACGTGCTTTCGTCGTCTGTGTCGTCATCGTCCGAGAGTTTAATCTAGAGGAAAGCAGACATTTTCTTCATAATATTTTCAAGTTGTCGTCTCTATGGTAAGATGTAAGTTTTATCAACAATTTGCAACAGTGCGATGCTTAAGTGCGTTTATTTATAATTTTATATCTACGATAATAGCAAATAACTAGTAAAATAGTCATAAATTGGACTAAACGGAAATTACAAACCATATCGACTTCACGGCGCCGCCTTTTCTTTTTCTTAGGTTTTTCTTCTAATTCCTTGTGGTCTTCAGAGGCAGAATGCTCCATGTCACTCATTTCTAATGTCTCTTCTTCTGAAACACGGAAATGTAGCTAAAAATTTGCCAAAATACAACATAATAGAATGAAATAATTTCACTTACTGCAACTAAGTTTATCCAATTCATCCATTGTGTAACTTATCTAATTCACTAAATCAATATTAAGTAATATTTATTAAATTTTAAACATTTAAAAATAGTTAAAATAAAAATCAATTTTTTGAGTTAAGCCATTGACCGCAAGGAAAGCTGTTTTCTTTGTATCAATAAATCTGTCAACGTCAACAACTATAATTTACAACAACATTGTGATTGGTTGATCCATTAGGTAAAACATTTTTAATGACCAATCAGGGATCTCAGTTTCGAATTTATCCATTTTGATAAAAGAAAACAAACCATGCGACGCGTTAACGTTCCGTTCTAACGCATAAACTGATTTTAATAACCTATAACAAAATTTTGGCATGTTACACATGAACTTTCATTTTTGTGTTTAGAGGGAAAAACAAAATTATTGAATTATTAAATTAATTAAATGAAATAATAAATTTATTACAAAATAAAATTTAATCATCTGTAATAGCACCTCGAATGTTTATTGTGCATACTCAAAATGAATTACCAATAATATGTCCTTTAGGGATAAGGGGTTCGACGAAGACGCATAAAAAGTTGATTTTCTGTCACCAGTTTGTCGGGAAAATTTTCGTAAAGCCCTTCGTTGAAGTATATATCCCACGCGTTTCAATCACAAAGTCACAACAATAAGTTGCTGCAGCCATGACTTAGGTACCTACTTACTATTCGAGCTGTATGAGGGCGAGCATTATCATGCATAAGCTTAAAGTCCTGACCCATTTGCAACCAGTGTGGTTAGACTACATATTTCAAGCTGCTGGATTCATCCGAGACTAACACCCACGAGAATAACATTGTCGGTTTGTTCCAAGCCAAATGTTCATTTGCCCACTGTAATATTCGACCGCAATTGTCTTATCGCAGTGTTTGAATCCGGAGTGGTCTACGAGCATATACGTTGACTTCATGCAGTCTCCTCCTCACAGTTTGATCGCTCACTAGACCTGGTGTTCCGATTGAAGCTTTAAAACAATTGCCTAGCTGTAACGTACCCGACTATTCACTGTGAGCCGCTCAACCATATCGCCAGTGTCTCGGTACCGAGACCATAATCTTAATATGACTCTTTGACTGGTGTCAACGGCATCAGCAACATTGCACTGAATCGCGCCCGCTTCTAGCATGCCTACGGCTCTCTATGACAGTTGCAATGCTACTCAGCTCTTTAAATCACAAAGATCATTGCCTTTGCAGAGGGGCATTGCCTCTGCGCCCGTCACCCTGAGACATAAGTTGTCAAGTCCCATGTGCCTGTAATTTCACCAGCACCCTTTACCCTTCAAAACCGGAACACAGTAATGTTGACATTGCTGCTTGGCGGCAGAAATAGATAAGGTGGCAGTACTTCGCTGGAGGAACTCTTTCACAAGGAGCTTTACTGCTACAATAACTCGGCATTTGTGAACCGATTTTGATGATTTACTACATAAACTAGGGGGTTTATGACTTTTGAGGTCGGTTGTTTTAATACTCTGTACTAACATTATCAGGTTTAAATTGACTTCAGTATCCGAGGGTGTATTATTTAGGTGTTAATGTTGTAATTATACTTAGCTGCTTTCTCAAGAAAATACCGTCGTCTAAAACTAAGTTAACCGTAAGAAGTTTACCATCTAACTTGAGCCATCTATTAACTGGGTAATAACTGAAATCTATAGCCAGTTATAATGGTGGTCAAATGAATAGTTGCAAGTCCGCCGCATGCTCCAGATGTCTATTGAATAAGCAATCTGTTATGAAAATAAAAACGGTAATTGAGCGCATCGTGTATTTTAATCGTCTGACACGCGTTCGGACTCCAGTTAGCATCTGGAACGGAATTATTTGCATACTTTTAAATAGGCATTACAATCATTAATCGTGCATAAATATATTAGAATTTGCATGATATTTTTTCCACTCGAATTGGTTTAATTAAATCGAATCATTTTATGTACCAAGGGGTTTTTATTAAATAAAAATGTATACAGTGTGTTTTTTTTATTTTTTATAATACTAAGTGACAGGACGATCAAGTCGTGCGCCTGGTGGTAAGCAACAAATTTATCCACAACAGTTGGAAAAAGTCGCAAACATCTTATGGTCACTGCCACTGCGCCCGTTGCCCTGAAACATAAGTTGACAAGTCCCATGTGTCTGTAATTTCACCAGCACCCTTAACCCTTCTAAACCGGAACGCAGTAATGGGTCATATTACTGCTTGGCGGCAGAAATAGTTAAATTGGCAGTACTTCCCTGGATGAACTCTTTCACAAGGTGCTCTACAGCTACTAAAATGGGCGTAATCTTTACGTGTGCACAGGCGATTATTCCGTAAATACAAGAGATGTCAAAAACTTTTAAACTGATATCGAAAGAACGTTACCTAATGAGTAAAACGACATCAATAACTATTTTAAAAAAAACTAAAAATATTCAATATATTAACATTAAAGGCTCCCATGCCAACATCTTATATGACATTCGCAGAGGCTTTAGTAGATATACTTTAAGAGGAAACAATAAGCTTACAGAATGAAACTGCTATAAACAAAGTAACACAATTACAAAGTAACAAAAACTAACAAAAAACACAAAAACAAAAGTAACAAAAAGCCTTTCAACAAATGTTATATTGATTGTATGGGAGCGTTTAAAATTAAAATATTGGATATTTCTAGTTTTATTTAAAAAAGTCGATTTACTCTTTAGGTAACGTGCTTTCGGTATCAGTGTAAAAAAGGGTTTTTGACGTCTCTTATATTTACGGAATAATCGCCTGGGCACATTTAATGATTACACCCTGTATATGCTAGACCACAAACTTCCTGATGCGCCAAATATCATTTTACAATTTCTACTTCACACACTCCTCTAGATAATAAAATATGCCTGTTGATTTAGTTGATTTTTAATACTATTTAATTAACCTAAGTCTGAAACGTTTCGATATTTCCGAGATTGAATATATCAGTCTCGAGTCTCGAAAAGGTCAAAAATGGTCTAAATTCGTGAAATTTTCAAAATCGTAATTTCCGGAATTGAAGCCGGTGACGTAATTACGACATCAAAGGTGCTTAGTTTGTAGACAGACCGTAATCACCAGTTTACATAAAGTGTAACCCTGTTGCCGGTTCAATTTCCATGAAGAACAATTGAGCTATATTTTCTTCTATTTCTATATTGTGATCATGAACTTTAAATTCCCGATCTTTACATTGCTAAGTGAACAATCCCTTAGCGCGCTGGTTCTTTTTCTTCCTGTCCTTATTCCACGCTAGGTGGGGTCGGCACAACATGTATTTTTCTCCCACTCTCCCCTTATCTATAATCTGATCTTATTTTTCTTAGTGATGACTAGATTATTCTTAGTGCTCTAGTTATAGGGTTGAAAGTATATACATAGCTATATTTACCACGTATCAGCGAAAGGAAATTCCATGTAGTTTGCGTGTTTGATTAGTACACAGTACTCTCACTTCGGGGCAGAGCGCGACATGCATTGCGCAATCTGCTAATATCGACTTCATGGTTCGCTTGCTTAGCTTTCTATTTGGATAGATAATCTGAAAGCAAGATTGGTTTGTCGAAATAATAATATATCGTCGTAAAGAGCGGTATGTAAGAAGAGACATAAAACGAACGCAAGTTTAAGAATGTAGTTTGGTATTTATATTGATTGAACGTCATGATGTTTTTACTCTGTTGTTTGATGTTTTCCGTTCGGTTGTTTTCGTTTTTTCCGCAGGAATAGACCATGGAGTCCTTCAAATGGGGTTTGAGAAGGGTCTGGTGTTGCAGGTGTTCATAGGCGACAGCATCAGGCGGACTTGTTTACTGCTTACTTAATTGCTAATGACAAGGTGCTGCTTAGCCCGTCGGTCAGTGCGTTGACGCAGATGTTTGAGACTTGTGGGGAGTATGCCATGGCACATGGATTAGAATACAACCCGAAAAAAAGCGAGGTCATGGTGTTTAAGGCGGGTAAAATCAAACCGTATTATGTTCCTCCTAATATGTTAAATAGAGTTCCGTTGAAGGTCACATATAAAGTAAAGTATCTTGGTCATATTTTAACAAGTGATCTAAACGATGATCTGGATGTTAAAAGGGAGCGCAGGGCGTTGGCGGTTCGGGGTAATATGCTTACCCGCAGGTTTGCTCGATGCTCCTACGAAGTTAAAATAACACTTTTTAAGCATTGACTTACAATTATATGGACGTCGGGTCCGCGCTAAAAAGTGTCCGAACTTGTAGGGCGTTAAAATCGTATACAGAGCGTCATTCACGCTTTAGTCTTCGTTTGTTCGACTGACAGCGAAGCAAGCAAAATTAGACAGCACTGCGATGACATTACAATTTAAATTCAACGTTTTAGCTTCTTCATATTCCTTTACATGTCACTACGTTTAAACAGGTTGACTTGGGACATTTTTTTCGTGGTTTTTGTATTAGACCCGTCGTCCATTTATTTGTAAGTCAATGTTTTTAAGGCTTATAGTCAATCTTTTTACTCTAGCAACCTGTGGTTAGGTATACGAAACGAGCCTTGAACGCCCTGCGCGTGCAATATAATAATGATTTAGAATGCTGACGGGACTGCCAACGTGGTGTAGTGCATCGGGTATGTTGGCGGTGGCTCATACCTACGAACAGCTTCCAGGCCATCATGCGCAAAAAGATTGTCTCGCTGATGAGTCGCGTGAGGCTCAGTACTAACAGCATTCTAAATGCTATAGCGGGAAGGTATGATTGTCCTATCCTGAAACATTGGATAGTGCAAGTTAAGGGCGTAGCCCAGTTTGAAATATAATTAAGTTGCACTGGTTATTACTAACCTTGATATAAGTTCTTTTACTAACATACTATAGATATTTTATGGTTCGAAATAAAGATTATTATTATTATTAAATAAAAAAAGAAAAAACTTGAATTGAATTAGTGTAAGGTGTTAAAATTCATAACATGTAGGTAGAACAACTGAGTAGTTCTTGAAAATTCTAA